CCCTCTCACAGATCCTACCCTTCTCTTGCAATAAATACCCAATTTGCCGGGCTCTAGCTTCCAAAGTTTGCTCAGCTGCATGGCTCTGTTCTTGAAATTGTCGCAGATCCCTTTCCAACCGTGCTATCAAGGCATAACAATGCTCCCTTTCGGCCTTGAAATTTCTTTCCTGCTTAGCCATTTCATTTTCAAGGATCTTGACCTTTTTCTTCATACTTACCATCCCTTTGTCGTATTCATCCTCGAAATGACGAGCCTTCTGGGTAAGATTGTAGATGAGCTTTTCGTCTTTTCTACTCCTACCCAAGTTTTCAATTGCTACTTTCATATTCCGGATTTGGGCTTTGAGAGCTTCATTCTCTTGGACCAATTTTGTTCTCTCACCTTCGGCTTCTTGGTCTTGGAGACCATTGTTGAATTCCATGTTTCTCAGCTTTTCTTTCAGGGCATGAATCTCAGCTTGATATGCCTTTTCTCCCCCCCCCCCATGCTAATCTTTCTTGGATTTTGTCATCAAAAGCTTGAACGTGAGGTCTTTTGGCAGGCCTCTCGGGTTCGGGTTCCGACTCGTTGTTCACACAAGACCTTTTCTCAAACCAAGCAGCATAGCTCGGATCTACTTCCCCCTTTGCAACATCTGGTACTTGGGTGCCATTCTTTAGATACCGGCAGCTATTCCAATCCTGTTGAACTAAAGCCTCGGGCAGTGCAGCTTCTGGATGCAACTCTATGACCTGAGTACTTAAATCTTCATCTTCGGGCACAATCTGATACCTCCCAAACTGTCTCAGGACCCTCTGTGGTGCATATGGCTGAATACTTCTTACACCCATTAACCTCAAGTAGCCTTTGGTAGCAGTCATGTATATGGCTTCTGTCTTCGGGAGCCATCCTATAGACCACTCAACCTGACTTGCTTTGAGAGCTTTCAAATGAGACACCCATGCTTCAAACCCTTCTGGTAAAGGTGATTCTGGAGTTGGGAGCGCGATCGGAAGTGAATTCGGAGGTCCGTAGGTCATTTTGGAGCCATTTGGCTAAAGATAGGAATTTGAAGGTTTTTGAGAAGCTTGACCGGAAATGGACTTTTTGATATCGGGGTCGGAATCCGATTCCAAAAGTTGGAGTAGGTCCATAATGTCAAATATGACTTGTGGGTAAAATTTGAAGTCAATCGGACGTGATTTGATAGGTTTCGGCATTGAATGTGAAAGTTAGAAATTTCAAAGTTCATAAAGATGAATTTCGGCGCGATTCGTGATTTCGATGTTGTTTGATTTAATTTGAAGCCTCGACTAAGTCCGTGATATGTTTCTAGACTTGTTGGCATGTTCGGACGGGGTCCCGAGGGGCTCGGGTGAGTTTCGGGGTGGTTTCGGACCATTTCTAGGCCATTTATAACTGCTGGTTTTTGGCTACAGCAGTATTCTATGCGATCACGGGGAATTGGACGCGATCGCGGTGAGTAAAATGTGAGAAACGGGCCAGTGAACCGCGATCGCGGAAAGCCTTTCGCGATCGCATAGAGTAAATATTCTGCTGCACTGAATCGACTTCGGAGGCTCATATCTCACAATCTATAAGGAATTTTGAGATGATGTAAAAATAAAAGTTGTAGCCCTTTGTGTCTAGTTTCTAGAAAACTAAACCATTCATGATTTGGATTTGTGTACAAAAAGATATAGCTGTTACACTACAGGGTATCCGGGAAGATGAAGAAGAAAGTTGTGTTGCACATGGGCTGATTTTGACAGATTATATCTAGAAATATATAAGGAATTGGGAAATGACCAACACATGAAAGTTTTTCATCTTTGAATCTAGTTTTCAGAACATTTAACCATTTGTTATTTGGAGTTGTGTGCAAAGAGTTATAACCATTCTACTAGAGGCTATCCGGAAGGCTGGGAAATTGTTCTCCGCGATCGCGAATCTCTTTCCGCGATCGCGCTGAGTAAACTTTGGGCTGGAAAAATTGTTCTACGTGATCGCGAAGCATTTTTCGCGATCGCAATGAGTAAATACCTCGGCAGAATGGTAATTTAGCGGGTTTAGCTCATTTTTCTTCATTTCTTCAAAGCATGGACGATTTTTTGGAGAGCTTCAAGAAGGGATTTCGTCATCTATGTTAAGTTTTGGAGCATTGTGCGTCGGTTCAAGCCTTTGGAAGAATGTAGAATGCCGTTCATGGGTCTTCGGAGCGAGGTGAGTCTCCTTTCTAATCTTGTGAGGGGGAATTTACCCCATAGGTGAGTTAAATTGGTTATGTGCTACTATTTGTGGGGGCTACGTACGCACGAGGTGACGAGAGTCCGTGCGTAGCTACTATTATGCTATTGTTCGGGTAGTCTAGGACCCAAAAGCATGTTATACTTGGATTAATTGTGAACCCATTGATGGCTTGAATTGCTTAAATCACATTAAATTAATAAATGGATTTCTAAAAAGACTTAAGCTTTGTTTTCTCAAATTATTAAAGAGAATTGGCCTTTCTTGGATAATTGCTCCATGTTGACTTCTTGACTGACTGTCTGTCTGTGTGTGTTTATTTTGGAACGGGCCGAATGCCTCGGCGGATTAATAGATGCATCTATAGGCGCGCCGTCGACCCTCGGCAAGTGCACATTTATTTCTGTTGGATCGGGCCGTCGCCTCGGTATGATTTGCGCATGCTTGTATTGCTTCCTTGAACTTATTAAGTTGTTACTGCCCCATCCTGGCTAGAGATTAATTTGTTAATAATGTAAAGGAATTTTTGGAAATTTCCTATGAAAGAATTACATGTTTACTTGTTTCCTCTATCTGGATTAAAAATCATATTTATAAAATAAATCCACAGTTTAATATATATACTTAGGATAAATCATTATTGGACCATTAGAGAGTGTCAAAGCTGACCATCTCGTCTCTACTCCTTCGAGATTAGGCGGGATACTCATTGGGTACACGTTATTTTCGTATTCATACTACACTTGCTGTGCATTTTTGTTGCACAGGTATATGTAACTCCAGTGGCCTACTGGGCACAGCAGCACGGATGATTCTGGGACTAGGTGAACTGCATTATTTTAGACGGCCGCAACTAGAGCAGTCCCTTTCAGTATACTGTATTTACTACCTGTCCATTGTATTCCGGACGGATGTTGTATTTTCTTTCTCTTATCAGTAGATTCTCATGCACTTGTGACACCGGGTTCTGGGATGGTTTGAAGTATTGTATTAACTGCTTAACATTTAAATTTGATTTGAGAATATATTCTTTAAAATTTCTAAATTTGGAAGGAAAATCCTAGATTTCAAAAGTGTTAAAACGAGATTTAATTAAGTATTTGAGTTTGCTGGCCTGACAGCGGTGTCCGGCGCCACCACGACCCTTAGTGGATTTTGGGTCGTGACACCTATAAATGAAGCTTTCCTTTCACTCAAAGGGAGCAAGGAACACTGAAAAATCTGAGAGTAAAAATAGCTAAGAAATTCAGGGAGGACCACTGTTTTCCATTAAATATTTTTCGGGGTTTTGAGTTTCTGATTTCTGAAAAATGGTATTTGATTATGGGTTGAAATGAGTGGTGTTTTGAGTATGTTTTAAAGCTGGTTTGGATTGCTTGTTGGAAAATACTGTTTCATAGCTGTTTGGAGCTATTTTCACTGTTTCACTGGTTGGTCCTGGGCTGATTTCTGCTGTTTGCTACTGATAACTTTCCCTCTCTTAATTCTGTTCATTTTCAGGTATTCATCTCACTCTCCAATGTATGAAAATGGATGAATGTGAAGATTGGTTCACTTGAATAGAGATTCATATTGGCACAGTTGTTTGGTCCATGTTGTTGCACTTTCAAAACTGTTTAGCTTAATTTAATTCTCTTATACTTCTTCAGCTCATTCTAAGTATGGATTGCTGTAATAATCTTAGCTTGGTTGTGGGGCATCAAATGTGCATGAAAGGTCTTGTTGAATGTTTGGCATAGTTTGAAAGCTGTATGTGTCCATAAGATTGGACAACTAGTCTATTTGTTCATATTACTGACAGAAACATGTTTTAATTTAAGTTATCAATGTGAGTAGTATAAAATTCATGTCAAAAGGGGAGGTGTGGTTATATAGTTGGGTATTTCAGGAGTATTTCAGTTTTAATATGGGAATAAACATCATGTGAATGTGTTAGAACTAATATGAAATTCGGATTGTTTGCTTCCTTGATTTGGAGATAAAGGATATGTTTCTTTTGTCCCTGAGTTTCAGTAATGCTTAAAGTCGTTAGAAATTTTAGAATGGTTGTTTATTTAATTCTCTTTAAACCTCCAGTGACCATGAATTGTGTATTGCTCATGTGGTAGTAATGCCAGAAGGCTCTTGTCATTATGCTTGAGTTACGTTCTGCTGTTGCTTAGGATTGAAGGCGTGACCTCTTTGAGGTCCAGCTCGAGCAAGGCTTCCTGAAAATTTGGGCTTCCGTTTAAGTCCAAATAGGGTCAGCTGTGAGACCCATTACTTTGCAGCGACCTTATTAAGCCAATGGGCTTCATGCTAAGCCCAGTTCATTTTCTGAAATCAAGAGTTAGGCTTCAAGAGTTAGGCTTCACTTAGTCTTATCTTTAATTCACATTGGAGTTCAGCCGTAGTATAAAAACAGTAGGATCCCTTTGGTCTCATTTCTTTATTGATTACTTGAATCAGATTTGAGATGTGCCATGCCTAACAAAAATGACAATTGCGTGGCCCTCGTTTTAATTAGTTTTAACTTAACCTTGGAATTCGAGGCGTGCCATTAGAAAATTTTCATGGCCCTCGTAAAGTTAACAACGTGTAGTTGCTTTTAGGTGCGTACTTTAATAATATTACCTTCCTAAACTCGGGTGTGCATTTCATGTGACCCAAATCCTAATCCCAAAACGTTGAATAAAAATGTGTTGAGGATCCGTGCGCATTTCATGTGACGTGATCCAAAAATACGTTTTTAAACGACGTTCACTTTCTTAAAATTTATTTAATTAAAAGCGGNCTAGATAGCCTGGCGTCTTCTGTCTTTCCAAGTATGTTTATGTATTTATATTTTAGAATTTCTCAATCCCATACACCTACTTGATTTGAATTTTTGGATTTATATTCTAACAATTTGATATATAGTATGCAGCATTGTAATAGGTATTGAGTGGAACCTTAAAGATTATAATGTAATGTTGGAAAGAGCCACAATTCGTCGAAAAGATATTACAAATAAAAATTAGATTAAAATCCTTTCAAAAGTTTTTAGAAAAGTATACAGGTTTGTTTTCTTATCTTGTTGCATTGAATTTTTTCCTTTTGTTATATGCTAAAAATTTTTGTAAAAGAATTATCTAGACATAAATTTTTCTCTCTTTAAACTTCTATTTGTATTTTTACAAACCAACCTTGCATATTTGTATTAATGGTTCGCTCATTCTTGAGTGCTAATTTTTGTTTCTTTTGAATTTATAGGGTACATTTTAATCTATTGAATGCAAGAAGATAAAGATTAGTCTTGATGCAAAGAGTGAAATTACTTCATCCGTGACGGCAGAAGATCATTTGGTGGCAACATCTTCAATACCAGATTAAATACTTAGAACTTAATTTTATTTTGATGCGAAACCCTTCAGAATTTAATATATTATAGTTGAATAACCGAGTTTACTTTAGATAGATAGTTGTATATTTTAGAATGAATTTTTGAAATTTTTGGATATAAATTTGTATAATAAAGTGATATTCAAAGTTTATTATTGTATTAATGATTTGATCAAAGATGTATGGATATGGAATATTTGAAAATTTTAAAAATATTTAGTGAGTTAAAAAAGGAAAATAGTAACCATAGGACAGAAATATTTATTATCTCTAATAAATTAATTTTTCATAAAAATAAAATGTAATCAAAATCTAGTCACCAAATAAAACATAACAAAAAATCCAATCATGGATATTTTGATGATTTATAGCTATGAAATTATGGGTTGGTAGCTAAATACAAATACTATAATACAAATCTAATATGTGAGCATAGCTACATATTTAAATTTTGTGGCTAAATAAATACCATCTTTTGCCGCGGAATATCCCTTTGTGGCTAAAGTATAGAAGATAGCTACAAAATTGATTTATCGTGGCAAAAGAATAAAATCATTAGCTATAAATATATATTCTTCGTAGCAAAATATTTTATTAATATAGCTACATCACAAAAAGTCTTGTAGCAATAACTTGTCCCGGTTATTTACTGCAATTTATGCTAGTAATGATGTTCATTATTGTCACGACCCATTTCCACAATAGGTCATGAGGGCGCCTAACACCCTTGTCAGACAAGCCATTGCGGAACATTATTAAAATTCATATGTTGCTTTTAATTAGAAAGAAGGGGAATAAACACTTAACTTGGAATTTAAACCAGAAGGGCGAAGTACTGCAAGTGATATAATTACACAACCCAAAATAATCGTCTACCAAAGTGTGTGCCAGAACCTGGTGTCACAAGCTACGGGCAACTAGCAGAATATACATCCAAAAGAATATCATACTATCCTACTGTCCGAGTCCAAATAGACAGAAAATAGAAATACAAGGAAAGACTTCTTCGGCTGCAGGTCGACATGGAGGGAAAGTAGCTCACCGTAGAAGTCCCAAGTCCGCTCACGGATACGCACTGGAATGATAACCAGATCCACCTGCCTCGGATCCTGTACAATTAAGTACAGAAGTGTAGTATGAGTACATAAAACAATATGTACCCAGTAAGTATCCCGCCTAAACTCGAAGTAGTAGAGACGAGAAGTCGACTTGATACTTACTAGGGTCAATTAATATGCGAAGAGTTTATAATAAGCATGGATATCTCAAGCTATTTACATTTAATAATCATGGAGTAACAGTTCTTTACCAAACACTAACAATAATGCTTGTATATAGTCTANAGATAACTTTTTTAATTAAAAGCGGTAAAGGATGTAAACGCATATAGGTTCTAAAATCAGTAATTTAATAATTGTGTAAGCCAAGTATGATCAAAGCGACCGTGCTAGAACCACGGAACTCGGGAGTGCCTAACACCTTCTCCCCGCTTAACAGAATTCCTTACCCGGATTTCTGTGTTTCGCGGACATTAAACAGAGCCAATTTTCCTCGATTCGGGATTTGAACCGGTGACTTGGGACACCATAATTATCCCAAGTGGCGACTCTGAATTTTTAATAAAATGAATCCCGTTTCGATTGTCACTTCAAGTTGGAAATAACTCCCTTTATTATACCCCTTTCCGGGGGTGTAGTGAAAAAAGGAGGTGTGATAGCTCTGGCGACTCTGCTGGGGACTAGAACCCAGAACTTTTGGTTCAGGGTTCAAGAATTCGAGCTTGTTTTATGATTTTTACTTGGCTTATTTATTGCTGATATTATTGTATTTTTGTGAACCTTTGTGCTAAAATGCTATCTGTTTCCCGCTTTAGTATTATTTGAATTGTGTATAATTGTCTTCTCGCGCCACCCATCTGAGTCTTCTGAAAATGGTGCATACGTTCGCGTAGCCCGTTTTTTCTATAGAAATTATACCAAATAGAGCGAGGCTGGGCAAGCGACAAGGCCGGGCAGACTTTAGTGCTCCCGGTACGTCGCCCCCTCCTCGGCCCCAGTTGTCCGCTCGGGTACCCCATGTCTAGATCAAACCCCAGGATTTAAACTTAGAAAAACACAGCTCTATGCCGGATCCCTAGTAGGAGCGCTTGTTTGCATCACGTGCATTTTGACTTAGGGGACTCAACACAGGGGTTGGGTCCGTCTAGGACAGGTGTACCCAAAATAACAGACCATCATGATGCATTCTATATGCTACGTGAATATTTATTTGTTTCGGCTTGCATGCTGACCGGCTAGATAAGAAAAGAAAAGAGAGGGGACAATCAAAAAGAGAGAAAAAACAAGAGAGAAAAAGACCAAGAGTGATGAAGAAATAAAGCCCGGCTCTAAAACCCGATATTTGAAAATACCCCGAAACTCTGCCGAATTTTTCAAAAATAGTTATTTCCAAAAATCAAAGCTGGCCGAACTACGCAGGTCTGATTTTCACCGGATGTGGGATACGTAGACAACCTACATAAGGTCCGGCCTTATTTTTGAAAAAAAAGAAGAAAAAAAAGAAATTAGGGGGTCAAATAAATGTAGTTTGGAAGTTTGGTCAAAATAAGCCGATTCAGTGTCGGCAATGTTTTAAACCGTTCTTGCCGAGATAACCTTAGAGTATTCTTCAGTTGTCGAAGGCCTATCTTCGTAAACGAATGGACAAGGTTGATAAGTGTCGTAAAATAAACCCTCCCCGGCCTCAAAATTCGTATGGAATTAGGAAGGGGCCACATTTGCAAAAATAGCCATTTGGCTAAAATTGGCATATCAAGGAAGGGATTATGGTCTTTTGTTTTAAAATTAGAAACCTGTTTCAAAAGGGTCCACTTGAGTCAGCCCTAACCCTACCCTTCTACAGGAACATATGAATATTATCCAAGATCCACCAGAAGTGATCAGGGAGCAGGCTCGGGTACATTTGCGCATGTGGTGGAATGATTTAGATCAGGATGGTCAGAAATGGGTGAGGAAGCAGCTGGGCGCTTTTATAGACATCTGGGAGATTAAACCACGGGATAATCTGATCAAGGCTCTGATAACTTTTTGGGACCCCGCCCGTAATGTTTTTCGCTTCTCGGGCTTTGAGATCACCCTACTTTAGAGGAGATGGCCGGGTACCTTGAGTTTGGACGGGATCTGAGGAAGCAGCAACTTATATTTCCAAGGGCTCCGTCGGTGCACAAGTTTTTTGACCTCCTGAATATCAGTAAGCAGACAATCAAAAATCGCGTAAGCAACGGGTGTTGTGCTTTCCATTTCTTATACTTCAGGTTTGGGCATTCTTCTGGTTTTGAAGCACATGAAAAGGGGCTGAGCAACAAGCAAGATAAGGGTCGTTGGCAGATTCATCGCCAGTTTGCATTTATTGTGGCATTCTTAGGAATTATGGTTTTTCTAAATGAGAAAGGGACAGTTGATATTCGTATGGCTAGAATCGCACAGATCCTCACTACCAGGGAAGACCATACACTTGCTCCGATGGTATTGGTGGATATCTATCGAGCGTTGACTTTATGCAAAGCCGAGGCTCAGTTCTTTGAGGGTTGCAATATCCTTTTGCAAATGTGGTTGATCGAGCATCTTCGCCATCATCCCAGATTCATGAGTTATGGCTCGAGCCCAGATAACTTCATCGTCAGTTACGAAGAGAGGGTAAAGGATTACAAGACTCGCAATCCCAAACGGACATCGGTAACACTGAAATGCACTTCAAGCCAAACTTATGAAATTTCTTCCAAAATGCTAACTTCCACAATGGGCGCCAAAACGCTCCCGGGTCTTCCAAAACCTGATCCGGGCACACGCCCAAGTCCGAAATCATCATACGAACCTGCTGGACCCTTCAGATCCCGATTCCGAGGTCGTTTACTCAAAATTCCAATCTTAGTTCATTCCTTCAACTTTAAGCTTCCGAAATGAGAATTTTCTTTCCAAATCAACTCTGAACTTCCCGAAATCAAATTCCGACCACACGTACAAGTCATAGCACTTGAAATGAAGCTGCTCATGGCCTCAGACTACTGAACGACGCGCTAGGGCTCAAAACGACCGGTCGGGTCGTTACAATAGGAGGGGGGTCTCTGGTGTGCCTTCCAAGGCAAGGCAAGCAGATTCCCCAAAATACCCCCACAAGGCATCTTTTTCAACTGAATGGGACAACTGACCACCTTTAATTGGCTCCAGCAACTTGTGCTAACCAAACAAGGCCAGCTGCCCCTATTCTAGAAGCTTCCTTAACAAAAATTTGATTTTCTTACTCTCAGATAACCCCCAAGTTTCCATTATTCAACTAACACCCCAATAGTTTTCTAACCATTACTAACTAGACAAACATGAAATGGGAAATTACCGATTAAATCTAATCTTGGCCATTTGGTACTGAAAACATCAAAACAGAGGAAAATTTAGAAATCTAAAACATGCAATTGGCCTCAGAATATAATTAATCCTAATTAACTTAAGCAAAGACTTTTTAAAAATTAATTTAAACAAATGAAACTCAACTGATTTAAACAAACGTGTAATAATGACTAATTTGACCAAATCATTAATCAAACGGATTCAAACAAACATATAATCAGAATTAAGAGAAATTTAGAAATAAGCAAAGGAAACAAAATCAAAGAAGAAGAAATGAGGAACTGGCCTAACCGGAGAGAGTTAATGACTGAGTTCAACGCTTGATCAAAGATGCGGAGAAGCATGGTTGACCAAAAGCTGTGGCTCTCCAAATTGAACCAAAACTCGTGTTAACCAAGGGTTCCGGACGGAAACTCTTGTTTGACACGAGTCTTGAGTCGATTTGAATTCTGAAACGCGAAAGAGCAACCTTGGAAGAACTAGGGTTTCACAATTTCAGATCCGAAATTCAAGACACTGGAAAGTGTTCTGAGGAGTTTTGCTGACGAATTTAGGAAAAGGAGGGTGCGGGGATTGCCTTGTATCAATTTGAGGGTATTTGGAGGGATTAGGTCTTGGGTTCCGGTTCTTGGATCTAAAATTCGAGAAGGCTGAGAAAGATTCGAGGGAAGCCGTCTTGGGGTTTAGAAAGAGGAAGGTGAGAGGATCGTTTGGTGTTAATTTGGGGTGGTTTGGGAACTCGCCGCG